CAACAGCATATCGTTTTTTTTATATGTTTTTTCTGGAAAACATATCGCGACATAAATTATCCTGTCGACAAAAACACGCTCGAATATAAACAATTAAAGGTGTCGCAACCGTTCCGCCGAATAATATATTTTATTGAGCATGCGCGGCTTCTCACGGGCGCCTCGTTTCGCCAATAATATCGTGATCTCCAGCTCGCGCATGCTTTCTAACACCGTTGTTCTGTCAATTTTGACAGCGGCCAATTACGCGTAATACGCTCAGGTCACCTCGCGCAACTTTAAAAAGACGCAAAATTATTGGCGCTTCACACGAAGGTGGGTTTTTTGCGGAAACCCATAAAAGAGAGCTCGCACCCGAAATCGGGGGCCTTATCGCTTTTTCGCCGTGAACCGCATAACGCAACCGCAGATTTGTAAAACCGCAGAAAATTCGTGACGACCGCCGCTTATTCCGCACTTTGATTTGAGTTCGATTTTCTCTGTAAATTAATTAAGATTGTAAAAGTTGTTAAGGTGTTCGTTTTCTAATTGTTTTATAATATTAAAGTCATTTAATACAAAGAGTGACTCATCCTTTCGTGCAGCGCGATCCTTTCTCTCGCAGCGCGTTCGTGAACATATTTCTGGTCCTTCGAGCCGGATCCGTCGCACCGGCAACCGCAAGTTCGCGAGCGTGACTTCTCGTGTGAGTGAAGGTGTGAACGTCTGGGTGTGCAGCCGTCATGGATGTGTCCACGCTGGTCGATTGTCAGCGTGAGATTCAAATCCGAATCTCACGCTCCGTAGAGTACCTGAAGAAGCTGGGCAGCGCCAACATCACCACCAGTGCTATCGCCACACGCACCAGAATCCTGGATCAGCTGTGGGCAAAGTTCGAGACGCAGCACGACCTTATCCGAGCGGCCCTGAAAGACAAATTCAGTGAGAGCGAGTATTTCCAATCAGATTTCCACGCAGATACAGAAAATCTGTATGTAAGTCAGCGAAGCATACTTGATGGCTACGCCGAACACTTTCGTGCACCGAACGTAGCTCCTTCTGCGACGTCACGCCACGGTCGTCACTGCCGCGCATCAAGGTACCGCCATTCTCTGGTGCTTACGCTGATTGGCGTCGTTTCGGGATCTCTTTCTCTCCGTCGTGAGTGGCAACGCGATCTCCAACATCGAGCGCTTCCATCACCTCCGCTCATGTCTGACGGGACCGGCTGAAAGTAATAAAGTCGTTACCCGTCACTAGCGACAATTATGAGCGTGCTTGGGCGATACTGGACAAGCACTACAACAATAAAAAAGAATTGATCCGCTCCAACTTTGCCACGTTCATCGCCGTGCAAAGATGAAGGGAGATACCGCAGAGGAGTTGAGACGCATCCACAACGCCGTTACTGCCACCGTCAACGGTCAGGAGAGCATCGGGCGTCCAATAAACTCCCACGGGATGGACCTCTTCAACTTCCTGGTGACGGAGCTTTTTGATGCACGCACACGTCTGGAGTGGGAGTCGTCCATTTCAGACTCATCAGAGCCAGCACAGAACGAGGCACTGTGGACTTTATCAGTCGCCGGATCCTGACGCTCAACGCCGCACGACCGAAGAGCGCCAGCAAACCGCCCGGAGATGCTCCACGGATCGCCAAGGCACACGTCACGAAACACCAAGGATCTGAACCGCCGCACTGTGCACTGTGTCGCGAGAACCACACCTTGATGGCCTGCCGAGACTTCAAGGCCAAGACAGTCAACGAGCGTAAGGCGTTCATAGAGACAAGCAAGCGCTGCTACAATTGCTTAGGCAACCACTTTCTATCTCGCTGCCAGTCGAAGAAGAACTGCCTCACATGCGACGCACGACACCACACGATGTTGCACGGAGCACCGACGTCTTCACTGTCAGCTGAGGCCACCACACGCGCCACCACACTGACCACGACTCTGCAACATCAGGATCACAAGGCCGTTCTTCTGGCAACAGCTCGAGTGAACATCGCCGATCGGTACGGGTCCCCACACGCCGTACGCGCTCTGATCGACCAATGCTCTGAGGTGTCGATCATTTCAGAGACCTTGGCACAACGCCTTCGCCTTCCTCGAGTTTCGACGGATCTTTCGATCTTCGGCATCGGAGGGACCCGCTCAGGATCCGCTCGAGGCAAAGTAACGCTGCACGTAACGTCAGACGTGACCAACGCCGAGCTCAGCGTGTAGCCTTTGTGCTGCCTCGCATATCACTGCAGCAAGGATCAGTCTCACGAGGAGAACGCAGCTGGCCTCATCTCAAGGGACTCCAACTGGCCGATCCTCGTTTTTTGGACGACGACCCAGCTGAGTTACTCTTAGGAGCCGAGGTCTATTCCTTGATCCTCGAGGAGGGCCTCCGCAAAGGAGATTCAAGGATGCCGATCGCCCAGCAAACAAGCCTGGGGTGGATCCTCTCTGGCGGATACGACGCCGCATCAGTCAACGGACATCGCCGCACATTCCGATGCACCGCCGATCATGACCTCGCCGACCTCGTTCGCCGCTTTTGGGAGCAGGAGAGCGAGCCAATATCTCAGGCTCCACTCACTCCTGACGAAACCAAGTGCGAGGAGCTTTACGTGCGCACCGTCACACGCACGCCCACCGGAAGATACATGGTGAGACTGCCTCTTGCATCACCGCCGACGACTCTTCAAGACACTCGCCGCCCTGCGGAGCACCTCCTGAAAGCCATGGAGTCCAAGGGCAGCCGAGACCCTCGATTTGGCGACCTCTATCGCAGCTTCATGCAGGAATACGAGGACCTGCAACATATGAAGAGGGTAAATATCGCAACAACAGCTGAGAAGATCAGATGCTACTTACCGCATCACGGGGTCCTGAAGGAGGCGAGCACGACGACGAAGCTCCGAGTCGTGTTCAACGGCTCTCAACGGACACGAACTGGGAACTCGCTGAATTCGCATCTGCTGACTGGGGCGAATTTGCTGCCCGCTCTCACCGACGTGCTGCTGCGATGGCGTTGGCACCGATATGTCTTCGTCACAGACATCGAGAAGATGTATCGCCAAATTCTCGTACATCCTGAGGACTGCAGCCTTCAAACGATACTGTGGCGTCAACACCAAACGAACGAGATCCAGGAGTACGAGCTGCTGACGGTGACCTACGGCATGGCGTGTGCACCGTTCCTGGCCATCCGAACGCTGCGACAACTCTGTGCGGACGAAGGGGCGCAGTTTCCTCAAGGGGCCACAGCACTTCGGCGAGATTGCTATGTCGACGACGTAGTCACCGGAGCGGACGACCTCGGCGATGCCGTCAACCTCCAGACAGAGCTGCGCAATCTCTGCATGGCGGGCGGATTTCCGCTGAGGAAGTGGGCTTCAAACAATCCGGACGTCCTCAGCGGAGTCCCACAGGAGCACCGGCTGCAGCAAGGACCACATTCTTGGGACGACGAGAGCCATTCGACCTTGGGTCTGCGATGGCATCCTCAAGAAGACCGGTTTGCCTTCGCCATACATCCTCGTGTAGTCAGCGAGTTTACGAAGCGACGCGTCCTAGCAGAGACTGCACGGCTGTTTGACCCGATGGGCTGGCTCGCACCTGTCGTGATTCGGGCGAAGATCCTGATCCAGACCACCTGGCTTCAGCAACTCGACTGGGACACTCCACTACCTGCCAAGGACGTCAAACGTTGGCAACAGCTGCTGAACCAGCTACCTCTGCTCAGCAACATACGGGTGAATCGCTGGCTCAGCACCGACAGCGATTACTCCACGTTGCAGATCCACGGCTTCGCAGATGCATCAGAGCGAGGATATGCTGCCGCCGTTTACATCCGCAACTCTGGAACGAAACAAACCACCATCAATTTAATCATGGGGAAATCCAAAGTCGCGCCCGTCAAGCCAGTTTCGTTGCCTCGCCTTGAACTGTGCGCTGCTGTGCTACTCACCACGTTGACGTTGCATATCCGAAACACCCTCGGCTTGACATCAACTCCAGTGCACCTGTGGTCCGATTCCAAGGTCACTCTCCATTGGATCCAGGGACACGCCGCTCGCTGGAAAACGTTCGTCGCCAACCGGGTGGCTCACATCCAGACTCAGCTCCCGGACGCTCAGTGGAGACACGTGGCCGGGAAGGACAATCCTGCAGATTGCGCATCACGAGGAATTAATCCGGAAGAGCTAGTCAATCACACGCTATGGTGGACGGGACCTACCTGGTTGGCACTGGACGAGACAGCATGGCCCAGCTCAGAGGTCCACATCGCAGAGGATGACCTTCCTGAACAGCGCACCACCAGCCTGATGACCAAGGGCTCCGTCGTCGTCGAACCGGACATCCTTCTTCGGTTCTCTGCGCTTCATCGGCTGCTACGCGTTACGGCCTGGTGTCGTCGATGGCTCAACGTGGCGAGCCGAGAGGTCACACTTGGTCGTCCGCTGCATCCTGACGAGCTGGACGCCGCCCTACTTCAGTGGCTTCGAATTGTGCAGGCACTCCACTTCCCGGACGAGATAGCCGCTGCCACTGCGGGACGTCCCGGTCCACCACGCAGTTCACTGATCAAACTCAGTCCATTCCTCGACGACCAAGGTGTACTGCGCGTAGGAGGGCGCCTCAAACACGCTCTGCTGCCTTACGACGAGAAGCACCCGGTGATCGTTCCGCCGGCCTCCTGGATGACGCGACTGCTCATCGAGTCCTGCCATCGTCGGTCTCTACACGGCGGCGTCCAGATGACTCTCGGCTTGCTTCGTCATCGATTCTGGGTGCCACGAGGAAGGACCGTCATTAAGCAGCAACTTCATCGGTGCGTCACTTGCACTCGCTGGCGAGCGGCCACTCCACAGCCTCCAATGGGCAACCTTCCGCGTGACCGAGTGACGCCGACTCGGCCATTCCTGAGCACTGGCCTGGACTACGCGGGACCCATCTTCATCCGGACCAGCAAGGGGCGCGGACACCGCTCACAGAGAGGATACATAGCTGTCTTCGTATGCTTTTGGTCTAGGCTATCCACCTCGAAGTCGTCTCGGACTACAGTTCCGAGGCCTTCATCGCCGCCTTACGTCGCTTCGTTTCCCGCAGAGGCCTGTGTACGGACGTGTACAGCGACTGCGGCACGACGTTCGTCGGCGCCGATCGCACCCTGCGCGAGCTCTTCAAGGCGTCATCTTCCGAGGGCCATCACATCGCTCGCGCCGCCAACAATCAAGGGATCCGCTGGCACTTTAATCCGCCAGCGGCCCCTCACTTCGGTGGTCTGTGGGAGGCTGCCGTAAAATCCACAAAGTTCCACCTCCGTCGAGTAATCGGCGAAACCACCCTCACATATGAGGAGCTTAGCACACTCCTCACGCAAATCGAGGCGTGTCTTAATTCTCGTCCGTTGCAGGCTTTATCAGACGATCCGGACGACACTTCGGCGCTCACACCAGGCCACTTCCTCATCGGGGCGCCACTATTAGCCGTACCTGAGCCATCGTCGACTGGTCAACCAGCATCCACACTGTCACGCTGGCGTCATCTCCAATTGATGCGAGACCATTTTTGGCAGCGTTGGTCAGCGGAGTACGTGCACGGCCTCAACCCCCGCACCAAATGGGTCAAGTCCGAGGCCGCACCTCACGTGGGAGACCTCTGTCTCATTCGTTCGGAGCTCACCCCTCCGACCCGATGGCCCCTCGCACGGATCACGAGACTGCATCCCGGGGACGACGGTATCGTCCGCGTGGTTTCGGTCCGCACCGCCACATCCGAATTCGTGCGCCCGCTCGTTAAATTAGTCATGCTTCCGGGCGCGGATCGTATTCCTGGCATGACTAACGCGGACACATCGTCCGCCGGCACATAATTCATCTCGCGACACTTTTCACCTCACGCACTGTATCACTCATCACATCTCATTTTCTTTCCTCATTTTTATCTCATTACCGCACTTACATTTCATCCATCACCGCACTTACATTTGTTCCATCATCTCACTGCACTACACAACACATCAAACACACACTCGTTACTGTCTCAGCTGATCATCACATTCCACGCGATCACCACGTGTTTTCGCGGCTCAGCTGATCGATTCAATTTACACGCGATCATCACGTGAACCTCGCCGCGCCGGCGCGCCTGCCCCACCATCGATCACTATCGACTTGCGATTCCGCGACCGAAATCCCACCATATGTTGTCACTGCGCGACAAGGCGGGCGGGAATGTTTGAAACGCATAATAGAAAACTACTTGTGTAATAAAATATTATATTTTATTATTGGAATATTCTAGAATATTCGCTTCCGATCGCAAGTCAACAGGCATATCGTTTTTTTTATATGTTTTTTTCTGGAAAACATATCGCGACATAAATTATCCTGTCGTACAAAAACACGCTCGAAATATAAACAATTAACGGTGTCGCAACCGTTCCGCCGAATAATTATATTTTATTGAGCATGCGCGGCTTCTCACGGGCGCCTCGTTTCGCCAATAATTATCGTGATCTCCAGCTCGCGCATGCTTTCTAACAACCGTTGTTCTGTCAATTTTGACAGCGGCCAATTACGCGTAATACGCTCAGGTCACCTCGCGCAACTTTAAAAAGACGCAAAATTATTGGCGCTTCACACGAAGGTGGGTTCTTTGCGGAAACCCATAAAAGAGAGCTCGCACCCGAAATCGGGGCCTTATCGCTTTTCCGCCGTGAACCGCATAACGCAACCGCAGATTTGTAAAACCGCAAAAATTCGTTGACGACCGCCGCTTATTCCGCACTTTGATTTGATTTCGAGTTTCTCTGTAAATTAATTAAGATTGTAAAAGTTTGTTAAAGTGTTCGTTTTCTAATTGTTTTATAATATTAAAGTCAATTTAATACAAAGAGTGACTCATCCTTTCGTGCAGCGCGATCCTTTCTCTCGCGGCGCGTGCCCATACCTAAAACAGATATAATTTTTAATGGGAAGGGGAATTTTTTTAAACAATATAAATGAAATAGATTTTAAATCTGACTACAGAGAAAATAAAAATTCTTCGCTATCGAGAAAGATATCTGTAAATTCCTATCTTGATTTCCATAAAACTTTTTGTAGCTAAGTAAATATCGCCCTAGATTAAATCTTTTCTGCATCTAAGTAAATATTACCCTATATAAACGTGGGTAAGAATATTTTGTAGAAGGAAAGTAAATATAATAATTCTTAGCAATTGTTTACGATGAAACGTGTCGGCGACTATGAGAAAAAGTTAAAATATAAATAAAATAAATAAAATAAATTGTAAATTCCTGCTAGAATGCTCGTAAACTACTAGTAAACTTTTATATTACGTTAGAAAAAATCAGCCAATGTTTCGGGGAAAGAAGCATTTTCATCCTTTCTTGTTTAATAAACTTAAACAATATAAAACTGAGAAATTTCCCTCTCCGTAAAGAAGTGTTCTTCAAACGTATAAATACGCCTCTCGGGATTAAGTTAGTTAGTTACATTTTGAATTTCGTCTTTCGTGTACTCGCGTATTCGACGCAGATGTACCATTAAATTTCAATGAATTTGAAAAAAATAATTGAAATTTGTTATCATTAGCGCAGAGTTTATGCGGGAAAAATTTTTCCAAGCATATATGTAAATTAGCATGTGCGAGTGAAGAGAAATGTTTCAATATTTTTGGGAAATTCGCGGGGGAATGTCCCAGCGCGGTGCTAGCGGTATTATTCCCACTAGAACATTTTAGTGTTTTTTGCGAAATACTGATTATCGCGGGAGAGGTGATCGAGTCGCGATACTATTTCGGTAGTGAGAAGGAAAACGATACAGCAGGTCACATCGAATATCTCCTCCTACATTTTCATCGAGTTCTGCGGGGAGAAGAAAATAATAATGAGTTTCTATTTTTTATTACACTTAATAATAAATAAATTAATTAAAACTACCTCAATTATTTATTTATTTAAATCGTTAAATTTTAGGTATCGTACGACCTGTCGCACGCGTCACAAGAAACCGGTTACGTGTACTGGAGAACCGCCCGTATCACTAAGATTAATGCTAAATAGAAGACGACGAGCGGATTCTTCGTCGGAGCCCAGACCTTCGCGTAAGTTTTAACATCATAAATTATATCGTGTTGTTAGAAAACATAATATTAAACAAGAAATTTTTTAATAAAATGTTATACGTTCCAGGTCGTGCACGTATCGTGTTAACGCCGGAGCTGAAACATCCGGTTATTGATTTAGCCGAAAGTGACAATGACGTGGAAGAAGTGCGGGTTCGCGAAGTAAGTCTGTTCGATGAGGCGGGCATATTTACTCCGCTTGAAAGTAAGTAAGAAAAATACTACAGTGATATATCAACACAAAAGATTTTTTAGTTATGTAAAATACTAATAATATATAACTGATGAATATTAGATGGCGTGGCGAATGAAAACGTGGTCGTAGAGGAGCGAGAACAGGAGAAGGAAATCGACGAGGAAATAAACTTGATTTCGGAGATGAAGAGGAGGTGAAGGTGGAGAAGGGGGTGGAGGAGGAGAAGGAGGAGGAGGGGTGAGGGAGGTAGAGGAGAAAAATGAAAAGTTGGAAGAAGAAATAGAGCAACGGAAGATAAAGAAGAAGAGCCGGAAGATCAAGAAGAAACAAACAGCAGATGAAGAAGAAGAAAAAGAAAAAGTGGGAGATGAAAATAACGCTACGTTTTTTGAAGAAAAGAAGAAGAAAATAGCGGGGCGATGGCTGAGGAAGGTAATAATTGCATATTTTATACTTAATCTTCTCCTACGTTTATGTTGCGGATGAGAGAGAGAGAGGGAGAGAGAGTGTGTGTATGTGTGTGAGTGCATGTACGCATGCAGTGTGGAAAGTGATATTTTTCACTATCAAATTCGGCGCGTCAATTTGCGCTAATCGCCAGGCACCAATCGCGCTGCGCGCGTTTCGCGCGCCAAACGCCTTCGGCTGTCGCCAGCCCGCTTATGCGGGCTGGCCAAACAAAACAGAAAAGGCAAAACAGTTTTGTCCTCCGACACTCGAGAGGATTCCACATCATTACATTGCAAAATTACAAGTTCGGTAATTTTACATTGGAATCTTCTCGAAGGTCGGCAGGATAAAACTGTTTTCCCGCGCGTCCTATTCTCACTCGCTTTGTCGCAGCTTGCACGCACAGACCGAGAGTTTTCTTCGTTACGCTTTTTACAAAGTTCCGTGGTATCGCACTTCTCGCGAATACTTTATTCTTTGTCGATTGCACTTCTTGCAATCCGTGTATTTTTTATCACGCCACCTGTGCGCGACTCTCATCTCTTGTATATAGTGAAAAATACAGTGCCGTTTTCATTAACATTGTCTCCTTTTTTTTTGGTGTCGTGCTGTGCTCCTTAGGTAATATCAATATTCACTCGCACACCGGTTCGCACTCCGCGTTGCCGCGAATTCGCACAGTTTAAATTTTTTGTTTATTTTAATTAAATAAAATTTTATTAGGAATTTCTTTCTCTCCTAAAATCGTTCCCGAAGTTTCATATTCACCGGAGTATTAACCCTGGCAGAGTGATACAAATGACCCGGTAAAAGAATATTAAAACGTAAGTGAACTTAGCATAATTATTAATAACACAATTTTGCATTATTATTAGGTCCTTGAATAAGTTCTCGCTGTTTTTTTGTAAAAAAAACATTATTTAAAATATAAGGCTTACAATAACTTTACTCAAAGTATTGTCCGTCGCCCGATCTTGATCAAGCAATGATCTCCAATTCTTCGTCTTCAAACTTTGTCGGTGCTCCAGAACGTTCTTTATCTTCAAGGCAAAGTCATTATTTTTAAAGCGCCTAAACCAGTCTCTGCATGTCGTATTCGACAGAGCATTGTCACCATATGTTTCAACAAGAATTCTGTGTGCTTCAGCTGCAGATTTCTTTTGAATAAAGCAGTGCAATAAAATTCCCCGCAAAAACACTTTATTTGGCACAAAAGTAGACATTTCGCAATAGGTAATTAAACACGTGGTTGACACTGTGGTAAACTGTATCTACTAGAATTTGAGGTTACATATAGTACTACTTAGCTGATGCGTTTCGTACGAAATTCCATGCACAGAGTGCCGCTACGCAATCTTTTAAGAAACAGCGAGAACTTATTCAAGGACCTAATAATAAAATTTAAACGTAAGAAAGTAATATTTTATTAAATATTTTATTTCGTTAATAAATTTTTATTTCTCACAGTACAGAGCGGCGGGGGAAGGACGTCGAAATACAGCAAGAAGAAGATTCTCAAACCTGGAGCGGTGAGGAAACTCCCGCCAATGCCAAAAAGCGACAATTAGCGGTACAGGACAAGAGAAAGAAGAAGAAGAAGAAGCGGAGGAAGAAGTAGCGAGACAGAATCAAGAGATAGATGATAATTGTAGATATATAATAATACGATCAATTAAAATAATATTAATCAAAATTAATATTGGTCGCTAGTGGTGAAAATAAGCTTAAAAAACTTGACTTCGAGTAACTAGCAATTTTATTTGATTATTCACGACGTTTCGACCATTTGGTTGTGGTCCTTTTCAAGTGAAATTTCTACAACATAATATTACACAATAGTTTTTAACATACGAAAACTCATTTAAGTGTTAAATTAATAAAATAAATATAAATTTTATAAACATACCCAACTGTTAAGAAACCGGATTCAAATGTTAAAATGGTTGGACTTTGTAAATACTATTAAAAATACAAGAGTTAATGACGATGACGTAATGATTTCTTAGATGTTTGTTCGTGTTTACAAATATTCCAAAAGATTTAGTTTTTCTGCAATTGAAAGTCGTTGGAGTGACATAAGTCTAAAAACTAAAATTTAATTTGCAACAGTTTCTATACGCTATTGATGTAATACTTACTTCAACTAGTTTTCAATTTAACGAGCAGTATTATAACCGATTTATGGAAGCCCTATGGGATCCCCTCTATCACCGAT